CTGAGCACAGGATCCCTGAAACACCACCCTATTACCTCACCACCAACCAATCAGAAGAAAATCTTCACACAGAGGAAAATAACAAAAACTCTGACCTCCTCCCCAAATGATTTTCCCTTTTAAAACTTTCATGGTTGAACAGAATCTTTGGAATTGGCTTCTGGACATGAGTTCACCTTCTCCCTGGTTGTGGGCCTCCTGAATAAAGAAACTTTTCATTTCCACTAACAATAAATTCTGGAGACAATGTGGAAAAAAGGGAACCCTCCTACACACTGTTGGTGGAAATGTAAATTGGTACAGCTACTATGGAGAGCAATATGGAGGTTCCTTAAAACACTAAAAATAGAGCCAACATATGATCCAGCAATCCCACTCCTGGGCATATATCTGGAGAAAACCACAATTCAAAAAGATCCATGCATCTCAGTGTTCATTGGAGAACTATTTTCAATAGCCAGGACACGGAAGCAACCTAAATGTCCATCAGCAGAGGAATGGATAAAGAAGATGTGGTACATATATACAATAGAATATTACTCTGTCATAAAAAGAGGGAAATAATGCCATTTGCAGCAACACAGATGGACCTAGAGATTATTATACTGAGTGAAGTAAATCAGAGAAAGACAAATATCATATGATATCATTTATATGAGGAGACTAAAATAAGGGTACAAATGAACTTATCTGCAAAACAGAAATAGAGTTACAGATGTAGAAAACAAACTTATGGTTACCGAGGGTAAGGAGGGGGAGGGATAAATTGGGAAATTGTGATGGATACATGCATACTACTATATATAAAACAGATAACTAATAAAGACCTACCATATAGCATAGGGAACTGGGAAAAGAATCTAAAAAAGAGTGGTTATATATATATATATATATATATATATATATATATATATATAACTGATTCACTTTGCTCCACAGCAAAAACTAACACAATAGTGTAAATAAACTCTACTCCAATAAAAATGAAGAAACTGTAAGAAAGAGACTTTTAGAGATCGAATAAGGAGAATGCTTACTTATAAGCAGTTTTTCTGGAGAGATACATCTTTCAAAATAGGCTTTGGGATGGGCAGCATCTATTGACAGGCATAGAAAAGTGAAGGAGGGTTCTGAGCCAGTGAAGAACACAGGTTCAGAGACTTTTACATCAGACACATTAGAGTTTGAATGTGGCTTCCACCAACCAAAGCTCTGTGACTTTGGAATAGTTGCAGCCTCTTTCCATGAAGAACAAATAAGAAGAATGACAGTCTCAGCTCATAGTTTCATTGTGATGGTTACACGGGGAGAATTCATATAAAGGGTGCCCAGCACAGAATTTAGTACACAGTAAACACCACTAAATGAGAATGTTCTTCTTCTTCTTCTTCTTCTTCTTTGTTAAGTATTTATTTATCTTGCTGCACTGGGCCTTAGTTGCAATATGTGAGATCTAGTTCCCTGACCAGGAATTGAACCTGGGCCCCATGCATTGAGAGTGAACAGTCTTAGCCATTGGCCCACCAGGGAAGTCTGTTGTTCTTTATTGTACAATAGTTGGAAAGATTCAAATAATTTCCCTATTTCAAGATGAGTAAATTGAAGTTAAGAGAAGTTATATGACTTACAGAGTCGGGAAAAGGAAGGAGACATACTTACTTGGGGAGGTTAAAAAAGAAACTTTATTATCTATAACAGTTTTATATTAACAGGAAAATTGCAAAGATCATGTAGAGGGGTCCTATATGCCCCTCCCTATTCACTCTCTTCTATTAACATCTCACATTTGTTATGGTTCATGAATCAGTATCGATACATTATTAAGTCCATACTTTATTCAGATTTCTTTAGTTTTTACCTAATGTCCTTCGTCTATCCCAGGATCATTTCTGACTGTGAGTTTTCTAGGTGTCCTTGTTTTTAATGATCTTGACAACTTTGAGAAGTACTGGTCAGGGATTTTATAAAATGTCCCTTAACTGAGATTTGTACATTAGACTAGAAGTTATGGGTTTGGGGAGGAGGCAAAGTGCCATTTTCATCTCATCATATCAAGGGTACCTGCCTTCAGGATAATATCACTTTTTTATTTTTTTTTCAGATTTACAGTTTTTTCAGGTTGCATTTATTTATTTATTGGCCACACCTCTCAACATGTGGGATCTTAGTTTCCTAAGCAGGGATCCAGCTTGTGCCTCCTGCAGAGTCCTAACTACTGGACCCCCAGGGAAGTCCCAAGATGATTTATCATTGTTGATGGGTAACCTTAATCACCCGAATGAGGTAGTTCTTGTCAGATACCACTATGAAATTACACTTTTCCTCCTTCTTTCCATATTCTACTCTTAAGAAGGAAGTTACTTGCACAGTCCATACTACAGGAGTTGAAAAATTATGCTCAGCTTCCTTGAGGGCAAATATCTACAGAAATTATTTGGAATCCTTCTGTAGGGGAAGAACTTATTTATTCAATCATTTATCTATATTACATTATGATGGATTCATGGATATTTATTTTATATTTTAGGTTAAACTCCAGTACTACTGTAATTTTTACTCTCCAGTTCTCCTTTGGCTCTTGAGTCTCTTTCATGTGCTTTCATCACTGTGTTTTTTGTTTTGTGGTGGGGAGTGGGGAGAGGGGGTGGCAGTTTAGCAGAGACTTACTTCTTAATTATCTTTTAGTATCTTTGGATTTTTGTCTCAAGTGTGTGTAAATACTATCCACTTCTAAAAGTTGAAAATAGTGTCTAGGGTAATTAACATTAAAAGTTAGAAGCTTAATTAAACAGGTAGAATAAAAAGTCTTTTTCCTTCCCCTGGTCACTCCTCCCCAGCTCCATTTCCCCTTCGCAGAGACATCATATTGATTTCTTGTTTGTTTCTGCATAACAATTCCTTCCCCCCCCCTTTTTTTAAAAAACAAATGTTTACATACAGTACACACTGTTCAGTATACTACTGTTTTCATGTAGTAATCTCATGTGGGTTATTCCATTTCAGCACATAGAGATACATCTCCGTTTTAGCCTCTACATAGTATTCCACTGTAAAGCCACACCATATATAGCTTTATTTAACCAGTCTTATATATTCATATACTTAACCAGTCTCCATCAATGGACATTTATGCTCTTTCTCATCTTTTACTAGAACAAGGAGTGCTGCAGTGACTGTTCCCATCTTTGTATCCTTGACCAAATAAATCTGCAGGATCAATCTCTAGACAAGGAATTGCTACATCAAAGGGTATTTTTTTTTCAAAGAGTATTTAGATGCTGCTAAATCTCCCCCCACATACTTTTCACGAACTTTCATCTCACCAACAGTGTATGAGAGGACCTGTTATTCCACACCCTTGCTAACATGGAGAAGTAACAGGTTTTTTGACCTCTGTTAATCTGATAGGTGGAAGATGGTGACTCATTGAAATTTTAATTTGCATTTCTTTTGTTATGAGTGAAGCTGAACATCTTGCCAGTTATTTACAAATCACTTGTGTTCTCCTTTTCTGTGGATTGTCTCTTCAGATTCTCTGCCCATTCTGGCTTCCCCTGCCCTTTAGACTTTTTCTGATCTTTGTTTTGTGCCTCAGTGAAAGCTACTCATTTGTTTAATCCATCAGTAAATATTTATTGATTACCTACCGTGTTATAGCAAAATGGCAGTGAACAAAAGGACCAAGATATTTTTCTCTGGTAGATTAAAATTCTAGAGGGGGCAGACAGGGTAAAGAAATAAATTTATGAAATTTATTAAAAAGCAGAGACATTACTTTGCCAACAAAAGTCCGTCTAGTCAAGGCTATGGTTTTTCCAGTGGCCATGTATGGATGTGAGAGTTGGACTGTAAAGAAAGCTGAACGCTGAAGAATTGATGCTTTTGAACTGTGGTGTTGGAGAAGACTCTTGAGAGTCCCTTGACTGCAAGGAGATCCAACCAGTCCATCCTGAAGATCAGTCCTGGGTGTTCATTGGAAGGACTGATGGTGAAGCTGAAACTCCAATACTTTGGCCACCTCATGTGAAGAGTTGACTCATTGGGGAAAAAAATACCCTGATGCTGGGAGGGATTGGGGGCAGGAGGAGAACGGGACGACAGAGGATGAGATGGTTGGATGGCATCACCAACTCGATGGACATGAGTTTGGGTAAACTCTGGGAGTTTGTGATGGACAGGGAGACCTGGCGTGCTGCGATTCATGGGGTCGCAAAGAGCGACTGGACTGAACTGAACTGATGTCATTTGGTGTTAACTGTTATGGATAAAGAGTAGGATATGGCCTATAAAGTTCTGAGGGGCTCTTCTTTTCTAAAAAATAATTTTATGTATTTACTCTTTGGCTGCCCTGGGTCTTTACTGCTGTGCGGGCTTTTCTCCCGTTGTGGGAGCGAGGGCTTCTCTCTAGTTGCAATGCACGGGCGTCTCACTGCGGGGCTTCTCTTTTTCAGAGCTCAGGCTCTAGGGCACTTGGGCTTCAGTAGTTGCAGCACGTGGGCTCAATAGCTGTGGTCTCCAGGCTCTAGAGCACAGGCTCAACAGTTGTGGTGCTTGGCCTTAGTTGCTCTGCAGCATGTGGGATCTTCCCAGACCAGGGATCGAATCCGGGTCTTGCATTGCCAGGCAGATTTTTTTTTTTTTCTTTAACCCCTGAGCCACCAGGGAGGCCATACATAGAGTATTTCTAGAAAGATATTTGAGAATTTCTCAATAGGAACATCTAGGGAGTGGAGACAGTTTCACCTTTAAGGATCATGTTCTACTTTCTCTACTTAAAAAAAAGGAACACAAATGTTTATATGTATAATTTTTATAAAAACATAAAATGTAATTACCACAACAAAAATTAGAAATACAAAACATTGGGAGAGGAATGCTTTAGGCAGAAGGAGCAGCGGTGCCCAGTCCTCAAGGTGGGAACAGCCAGGGGCGCCGCGTGGCGACTGCCGGCTTCCGAATGAAGAAGAGCCTGGGAGGGTTGTTTGTGGAGCACTTGCCACATGCCAGGCATTTCGTTGTGGGGTTGTTTGTGGGCAGTGGTGGGTGAGACTGACAAATGCCTTCCCCAAGCTCCTGGCTCCTCCCTACTCCTCCCACAGTTGATGGGAGGCCCTGCCCTGGCTCTAGCAGAGCGTTCTCACTTGCCTCCCACCCCTCCCTCTGCTTCTCCCACCTTTTCTCTAGGACCCATCAAATCCCAAGGAGGCAGGAACCCTGAGTTGAGTGACCTTGACTTTACCTTTCTGAACCTTAATTCCCGCATCTACAAAATGAAAGCCGTAATAAAGCGTATCTCAATGGAGCGGTTGTGAGAATTACTGGTGTTCTAAAAATGGTTAGGATCGTTACTAATGTTAGGCTGCCTCTAGCACCAACTTGCTGGAGTTGGTTATTTAATACTAAGAATATAGTGCCCACAAGGCTTGCCTGCAAGGCAGAGAAGACTGGTATGAGTGTCCCCATTTTATACTGCAACCCAAAGATGAAAAGAGCTTATCCAAACTCAGTGAAAAATTCAAGATGGACAGACTTTAGGATCAGACAAAATACGAGCTTGAATTTCTGCTTTGCTAGCTGTTTGCTCTGTGATTTTAGGTTAGTTACCCCTCTGAAGCTGAGTGTTTAACCACACCTACCAAAAAAGGGACAAGGCCTTGGGACCTCAAAAGACTGGAGGACTAAAAATTGCTGCAAAAGAAAAAGGCCTCGGGCAGCTCTGGGAAAGCAGTTAATGCCCAGGAAATAGCAGCCATTAGGGCAATTATTCTGTAAATGTCCTGAATGATAATAACATTTACGGAACCAGGTGTCAGACTCTATGTTAGGTGCCGAGATCAGATGAACTAGAGATAGGGGTCCTGTGGTCTCTAACTCCCTAATACCAGCCCCTGTCTTCCCACACCCCGCTGTGAAAGAAGAGAAGTCGTCAGTGATGCAAATGAGTGTTGACTTTTTTCATTAGCAAAACAAAGAGCCCTTGATGGAAAAGTTTAGAACTTTGAAAAAGGAGAAATACTGGTTAATAAGTGTTTGTTGATATACTCAGACCCAGCTTTACTGTCAATAAACATTTCCCGAGGCTGGCTGGGATAACCCCCACTTGGAATCCAGTCGAGGTCTCTAAAATGCTGAATGAACTGGAGCCTCAGTGTCTCAGGATAAAGTATGAACAACAGCAAGGTAATGATGCTCAGGGCTGGGCCAGAGTGGGGCAGTGATGAAATGTTTATGAAGCACTTGACACTCCTTAGAAATGAAGCAATTTTTCTTATCTAACAAAATCACTTTATTTAACTCCAAATCTCCCCAACTCACCCCTAGTTTCAGGGGAAGCAATTGTAGACTCTTTAGGGGACCCTGACCCCAATACTTGGGGCTCACAGGGCCTCTGTTTGTCTCCTGGGAAGACACAAGGGGAGGAAGATGGAGATGAACAGGGACCAAGAACATCTAGAGCCATCATGCTGGGTGCAGAACAGGTTAAATATAGTTAGTAATAGACAGAGACTAAAAACAAAACTGAACACTTGTTCTTTATGTACATGAAGATATTCACTACAAGTTTATTCACCAAAATATTATTTCTAGAGCCAGAGAATGAAAATAATTGGAGTGTCCAAATTAGGAGATTGATGAAATATATCATTCAACATTCACACATGGTCTTTAAAAATATAAAGTAGATCCCAAATCTGGGATAATCTTCAAGATTTAATTATTAATAGGCAAGTGGGGTTATCTTGTGTTCACAGACAGGAAGATGATATTATAAGGATATAGTTCTCTCCAAACTGATCTGTAACCATCAAGGCAATGTTAATAAAGCTTACAACAGGGTTTTTCCATGAAACTCAACAAGCCAGTTAAAAGATATATACAGAGGAGCAAAGGGCTAAGAACAGATAGAAATTTCTAAAGAAGAATAAAGAGAAGAGACTTGTTCTACCAGAATTGTTAAAAAAAAAAGCTGTGGTGATGAAGGAAAGATGGTGTTGGTAGTGATAGAAATTCAGCAAAATGAACTCATGGATATAAAAAATTTTGATAAATGACAGGGGTGGCATGGCAGATCTAACGAAGCACTCTTCAATAAATGGAGCTGGAAAAAATGTCATCCTTATGGGAAAAATGAAGTTAAATCATTGCCTCACACTATACACAAAAATCAATTCCAGATATAACGATTTAATGATCAAAGGCAAAACTTGAAAAATTTTAGGAGAAAATATAAGAAAATTTCTTTATGACCTTGTTTGAGTAATAAAGAATCTCAAACAACATACAAAAAGGTTAGTTATAAAAGAAAATATTAATAAATAGAACTATATTAAAGTTAAAATTATAAGCTACAAATTGGAAGAAGATATGTGTAAACTCAAATAACCATTCAAGGATATATGTTGAGATGATTTAAAGACCATCTATAAGCCAAGAAAGGATAACAAGCCAACAGAAAAATGGGTGAAAGACTTGAACATGCATTTCAAAGAAAAGGAAGCACAGCTAAAAAGCTCTTGAAGAGATTTTCAACGTCATTCAAGTAAAGATCATATCATATTCAAATCAAGATCATAATGAGATATCCGGTCTATGGCATGAATTAAAACGCCAAGCACTGGAAAAGAACAGTAGGTCTTAGATATGTTGCTGATGGGAATATATACCCATACAATCATTTTAGAAAACAATTTATCATTTCTTTCTTATAAAATTGAACATGTACACACCTTAAAGCTTAGCAATTCCACTCTTGGGCAAATATCCAGGAACAAGTCTTGCACAAGTGTTCCAGGAGACATGGACATGAATATTCATAACAGGAGTGAATCAACAGTCATTAACCAGAAAGAACCCAAAAAGCCCTTCAATAGGAGAATGGATAAAAATATTGGGGCAGTTTGATAAAAATGAAATATTACACAAGAGTTAAATTGGAATTAACCACAGCTACACAGTATGAACTTCATGAATGGACCACTGAGTGTAAAAACAGAAAGTGAGACTCTGAGGACTACCTACAGGAGGATCAGTTCAGTTCAGTCACTCAGTCGTGTCCCACCCTTTGTGACCCCCATGGATTGCAGCACCTCAGGCTTCCCCGTCCATCACCAACTCCCAGAGCTTGCTCAAACTCATGTCCATCGAGTCGGTGATGCCATCCAACCATCTCATCCTCTGTCATCCCCTTCTCCTCCTGCCCTCAATCTTTCCCAGCATCAGGGTCTTTTCCAAAGAGTCAGTTCTTCACATCAGGTGGCCAAAGTATTGGAGTTTCAGCTTCAACATCAGTCCTTCCAATGAACATTCAAGACTGATTTTCTTTAGGATGGACTGGTTGGATCTCCTTGCAGTCCAAGGGACTCTCAAGAGTCTTCTCCAACACCACAGTTCAAAAGCATCAATTCTCCAGCACTTAGCTTTCTTTATAGTCCAACTCTCACATCCATACATGACTACTGGAAAAACCATAGCCTTGAGGAGACAGACCTTTGTTGGCAAAGTAATGTCTCTGCTTTTTAATATGCTGTCTAGGTTGATCATAGCTTTTTTTCTAAGGAACAAGTATCTTTTAATGTCATGGCTGCAGTCACCATCCGCAGTGATTTTGGAGCCCCCCAAAATAAAGTCTGTCACTGTTTCCATTGTTTCCCCATCTATTTGCCATGAAGGGATGGGACCAAATGCTATGATCTTAGTTTTCTGAATGTTGAGTTTTATGCCAACTTTTTCACTCTCCTCTTTCACTTTCACCAAGAGGCTCTTTAGTTCTTCTTCTCGTTCTGGCATAAATTTGGTGTCATCTGCATATCGATATTTCTCCCAGCAATCTTGACTCCAGCTTTTGCTTCATCCAGCCCGGCATTTCTCATGATGTACTCTGCATATAAATTAAATAAGCACGGTGACAATATACAGCCTTGATGTACTCCTTTCCCAATTTTGAACCAGTCTGTTGTTACATGTCCAGTTCTTTTTTTTTTTTTTTTTGCAGTTTCTAAAAGGAAGATTTATTCGACAAGTTTCACTTAGCGCAATACACCTAAAAGGAAAACCACAATACAATGAAAAATTTAACTCAAGGCCTCAGAATTTCATACAAATACATGTCCAGTTCTAACTGTTGCTTCTTGACCTGCGTACAGATTTCTCAGGAGGCAGATCAGGTGGTGTGGTATTCCCATCTCTTTCAGAATTTTCCACAGTTTGTGGTGAGCCACACAGTCACATGCCTTAGAATAGTCAATAGAGCAGAAGCAGATGTTTTTCTGGAACTCTCTTGCTTTTTCGATGATCCAACGGATGTTGACAATTTGAACTCTGGTTCCTCCGCCTTTTATAAATCCAGCTTGAACATCTGGAAGTTCACGGTTCATGTACTGTTGAAGCCTGGCTTGAAGAATTTTGAGCATTACTTTACTAGTGTGTGAGATGAGTGCAATTGTGTGGTAGTTTGAGCATTCTTTGGTATTGCCTTTCTTTGGGATTGGAATGAAAACTGCCCTTTCCCAGTCCTGTGGCAGCTGCTGAGTTTTCTAAATTTGCTGGCATATTGAGTGCAGCACTTTCACAGCATCATCTTTTAGGATTTGAAATAGCTCAACTGGAATTCCATCACCTCCTCTAGCTTTGTTCATTTTGCTTCCTACAGCCCACTTGACTTCAAGCCCAGGTTCAGTTCCCTAGTCCCATATGCTGCAACTAAGACCCAGCATAGCCAAATAAATTAATAAAAGTAGATAGCTAAAATTAAACAGTGTATTGTTTAATCATCATAGAGAGGAAAAAACTATAAAACTAAAAGCAAGAAAACAATAAACACAAAGTTCTAGATAATGGTTTCCTGCTTTGGGGAGGGTGTTGCTGCATGAACAGGACAAAGGGGGGAGCCCATTAGAAGATGTGAATTATTGTAATATGAATAAGTAAATATATACATATATGATGAATAAACAAAAACATAAAAACAACAAGCAAATAAATAGAAGAGGGCTACAAACAGATAATAACCATATGTCACAGATGATGGATTTTAATTAATCCAATTCTTAGTAGCTGAAGTCTTTTTCTGGGCTTCCCCAGTGGCTCAGTGGTAAAGAAACCACCTGCAATGTAGGAGCTGCCAGAGAAGCAGGTTCGACCCCTGGTTTGGGAAGATCCCCTGAAGGAGGCCATGGCAACCCACTCCAGTATTCTTGCCTGGAGAACCCCATGGACAGAGGAGTCTGGTGGGCTACAGCCCAGCGGGTCGCAAAGAGCCAGACACAGCTGAAGTGACCTAGCATGCAGACATGAAGTCTTTTCTAAAAAAAGA